GGGGGGGCTTATAAAGTCGATGGCCGCTCTCTGCAAAACAGGGGCCCCTCTCAGAGGAATGGGGGGTCACCCAAGAAATATGTATTTCAACCAAACAATAGCCCTTAGAGACCAAAATTTGCTAATTCAATAACTGTAAAAAAAAAAGAAGAAGCTTTCAACGCGTTTCGGGTGTTGGGCCATCCCCCTTCATCGGGGCTTATCTAGATATCGGCTGGACTCAGAGCAAAGCTGCCGGAAGATTCAATTTGATGTTCTGCCGCTGGTCTGGACTGATATCTAGATAAGTTCTGAAGCCCCGATGAAGGGGGATGGCTGAGAAACCGAAACGCGTTGGTCACCTTTTGTATTTTCCGGTTGCGGAATTAATAAAACACCATTTTGGATCGATGTTTGGCGTCTTTGGTTGAAACCCCTCAAGGGTTATGTCCTTGATGAAGGGGACCCCCGTGACCCCCTTTCTGTGACTGTCACGCTCCATCTTCTGCTTCTCTCTCCCCCGTTTCCTGTCCTTGTACATACGAGATAAAGTCCATGAAAGATACAATGACGTCTCACCTTTCCCGGATTCCCGGAGTCGTCTGTCGTCAGATTAAACACCGGGAGTGTTCCCGTCACCACCAAGCCCAGTCCCTGGAGAAGAGATGAAAGTCCTAATAATAAAGAGGGATCCTGATACGCCGATCCCAGCCGATCCCTACTCCTCAGAGCCGAGCTCCTCTCCAATGAATGAGACGTCTTCTCACACGCAGCTAGCAGAAGTACCTGAATCTGTCTTCATATCAGCCTCCTGGTCATCAGCAGAACCGAGACTGGGAGGGGCAGCAGGAGGAGCCAATCAGGGACAAGGAACTTACAATTGCCCCTCTGCAGTGTATGGAGAGATGTGCTGGCCGATCAGTCACATGCAGTCAGGGAGCCAATCAGGGACAAGGAACTTACAATTGCCCCTCCGCAGTGTATAGGCAGATGTGCTGGCCGATCAGTCACATGCCGTCAGGGAGCCAATCAGGGACAAGGAACTTAAAATTGCCCCTCCGCAGTGTATGGGCAGATGTGCTGGCCGATCAGTCACATGCCGTCAGGGAGCCAATCAGGGACAAGGAACTTAAAATTGCCCCTCCGCAGTGTATGGGCAGATGTGCTGGCCGATCAGTCACATGCAGTCAGGGAGCCAATCAGGGACAAGGAACTTACAATTGCCCCTCCGCAGTGTATGGAGAGATGAGCTCACCGATCAGTCACATCCTGTTACATTGGCCATAGATGAAGCTACATTGTCAGTCAATGAGTGCAGAGCTAGTGCTGGGCTTTCTGATCGGTAAGCCCGCCTGACGTTCTCAGCTTCGCGTATCAGAAACTTATTTATTAATTTACAGGTTTGTAACCCTAAAAACATGAAATAAAGTTGTCCAAAATGTCAGAGTTTTTCCTTCTTATAGATCTACATGGGAGTATTTCAGGCTAATGTGTTATTGGCCAATGAGAAGAGCCGGCCAATGAGAGATCATCTGCTGGGTCCGGAGCTCCTATTCACTCCCACCAATCCTTTCCAATCAGGGCTGGGACAAGGTCATATAGCACCCAGGGCAAAAAAATGACAAAGTGTGCCCCTCCCCCCATGAGCTGTACCCTATACGTGGCCGGTTCTGCTCAAGGCGGCCGGTGGACCCGGTAGTGAGCGGAAGGCGCCGACCCGATACAAGGGGACATGACGCTGACATATTTCATTGGTGATGAGGGGGAAGAGGTCTCGGGACTCACCAAGGCGTCTTGATAAACGTTGGTCCACTGAACCTGCTTGGCCTCATTCCCGGCGAGAACCATCGGACGTCCGAGAACATCGAGATATTCCTGAAACACAAACAAACCAGAAATTAAAGGGGTGGCCCATCCGGTTCCAGCAATGGGCGGAGTCTGGTGGCTTGAGTTATCCACTGGGCTCTCCATGGATATCTCCGGAGGACTCCCTAGCATAGTTCCTGCTTCAGTGACCACCTACCTGGGAATACTCCCGACCACCTTGGAGTGTTCCAACTGAGCCTCTCATAATGGGCACAGCAGGGTACAGACCCGGGAACTCAGCACAGGGATGGTGGGGGCTCCTCATAATGGGCACAGCAGGGTACAGACCCGGGAACTCAGTACAGGGATGGTGGGAACTCCTCATAATGGGCACAGCAGGGTACAGACCCGGGAACTCAGTACAGGGATGGTGGGAACTCCTCATAATGGGCACAGCAGGGTACAGACCCGGGAACTCAGTACAGGGATGGTGGGAACTCCTCATAATGGGCACAGCAGGGTACAGACCCGGGAACTCAGTACAGGGATGGTGGGAACTCCTCATAATGGGCACAGCAGGGTACAGACCCGGGAACTCAGTACAGGGATGGTGGGAACTCCTCATAATGGGCACAGCAGGGTACAGACCCGGGAACTCAGTACAGGGATGGTGGGAACTCCTCATAATGGGCACAGCAGGGTACAGACCCGGGAACTCAGTACAGGGATGGTGGGAACTCCTCATAATGGGCACAGCAGGGTACAGACCCGGGAACTCAGTACAGGGATGGTGGGAACTCCTCATAATGGGCACAGCAGGGTACAGACCCGGGAACTCAGTACAGGGATGGTGGGAACTCCTCATAATGGGCACAGCAGGGTACAGACCCGGGAACTCAGTACAGGGATGGTGGGAACTCCTCATAATGGGCACAGCAGGGTACAGACCCGGGAACTCAGTACAGGGATGGTGGGAACTCCTCATAATGGGCACAGCAGGGTACAGACCCGGGAACTCAGTACAGGGATGGTGGGAACTCCTCATAATGGGCACAGCAGGGTACAGACCCGGGAACTCAGTACAGGGATGGTGGGAACTCCTCATAATGGGCACAGCAGGGTACAGACCCGGGAACTCAGTACAGGGATGGTGGGAACTCCTCATAATGGGCACAGCAGGGTACAGACCCGGGAACTCAGTACAGGGATGGTGGGAACTCCTCATAATGGGCACAGCAGGGTACAGACCCGGGAACTCAGTACAGGGATGGTGGGAACTCCTCATAATGGGCACAGCAGGGTACAGACCCGGGAACTCAGTACAGGGATGGTGGGAACTCCTCATAATGGGCACAGCAGGGTACAGACCCGGGAACTCAGTACAGGGATGGTGGGAACCCCTCATAATGGGCACAGCGGGTGTACAGACCC